CCCCCGCGTTGACACTTATAACATCGAAAGTTGGGAGGGGCTGTACAATGCCCTGTAAAGCGCTGTTGGGGCTGCACGGGGGTGAATATAGCGTGGCAGAGTCCCCTGGGCCCGTCCACTTTAGCAAATCAGACCGTTGGGGAAAAACGAGAGGGGGTTGCAACTTGCTCTTGACCCAATATGAGGAACAAGTTTGTTGACGTTTTTTAGAGGGGCAAAAAAGCACTTTAGGTTTCCCTTGGTTGGGGGGGGCTCGGAGTTTGATGTTGGCATATTCGTGAGTTTAAAATCCTAGAGGGACTATTCCGAATTCACACAAAATCACTCACTACGAAAGCAAAAGACTTGGCAGACGATGCAAACCAACCCCCCCAATGAAAAACAGGGGTTTTCACTAGCACGTTAAAGGGCCATACAATAAGTGTCAGGGGCCCGAGGGCTGTTTTAACTGCCTCCAGCAAAATAAGGGGGATTACCAACAGACCCCCCGGGAGTCTTAAACTGGCCCTGGACAAGCACCTAAAGTCCCGTTTTCCCATCAGGGGCTGTGGCTCGTACGTTGGTTTTTGGGGCAGCCACACAACAGCCTGGGGGTTAAACAGGCGCTGAACCACCAGGAGGCCCGGTCACAGCCGGGCCGCGGGGGTTTACCCCCCCCAAAACTCTCTCCAGGTAAACTCCAGGTTTAAAATCCAGTGAGAATTTGTCTATAAAAAGCTGAATCATTGGGGACAAAGACGTAGTTTTTCCTCAACGCGGACAAATTGAAACCGGGTTTTTCTTTATTGGTTTTTCACTAGCTTCGAAAAAAACCCGTTAAAAATTGGTCTCTTGAAACAGTGTTTTTCAGGAGGGAAAACTAACCTGACAGCTTTGGAGGGGTGTGGGGCCACCTTTTTACTTTCAGCAAGTTTCTCTGGAAAACCTCGTTTTTTTTTTTCCGGAAGGGCCCCTTTTTCTAAAATATGTTTTCCCAAAACTGCCCCTTTACCACATCACGTCAACACCAATTTAGCTATACTCCCTAGCTGACAGGAGTTTTTTACACTGGCGATGGGGTAAGGATACCGGTGAATTGAAGGGACAAGGGAAAGGGGTATTCACCTCGCTAACACCGGCAAAAGTGGGTGTAGTGGCCTGCGGGTCGCAGTTTCATTTTCAAAGGTTTATTCCGGGGCCCCCAGTCGTCTCGAGAGTTTCCAATATGCACCCCTCGTTAATTTCTCCAAACCCCCAGCACTTAAAACCCCAGATAGCATCCGTGTCTGGGAATGACAGGGCAAAATTTTTACTCTGTGGACAAAAAATCAGCACAAACTTAATATGTTTTTAGATTAACCTCCCGGCTTGTTACCCCGTTAAAAAAACTGTTTTAGCCCCGGTTTGGTTAAAAATCGCCCCCTTTTCTCATATGTAATAATGGCGACGAAACTAAGGGGTACCGGGGAAAGGAAAGTCGAGGAAGGGACATTTTTACCTCACTGGACACAGCAGTATGGGTGTAAGTGGCCCTGCGAGTCTTATAGTGCCATTTTCAAGGTCAAACCCAGGCCCAGACTTCCTCACTCCCTTTTTAAGCCTACTAGGTAAATTATGGTAGCACAATGTCCTAAGTCAGTGAAATCCCCCTCGTGGGAAAAAAGTTACAACAAATCTGCGATTAACACAAACCCCTTGGATATTTGCTTATAGCAGGGAGGTTGGCCACAGGGGACTTATTTTTTAAGGTGAGTGGAGTGCGGCACAGAGGGCTGACACGGGCCTCAAAACATTTTTTGTGGGCCCGGCAAAAAACCCCCTCTAGACCCATAAGTAAATAGAGGGGGAATGGCGAGTTCCAAATCGAGGGAAGGGGGGGAGGGGGGCGAGGTTGGAAGGTAAAGGGTTTCCCACAAACCACTTCCCAAAACAAGATGTTTGTGTTTCACTAGGTATATCACTAGTACCTTTTTCACCCCATAAAAGTTCCAGCAGCAATTTAGCTGCGCTCCAACGATATTTTTGCATGAGATTATCAGTCGGGTGAGATTTAACATTCCCGATATAGAAAGGCCCCCGGGGCTTTTCCCCCTTCACACCCCACGTCCCCCTCCCCCCCCAACCCCTCAGGCCCCAACTGTACTAATGTAAACCCCACAATAAACCCAAAAATTTTGTAAACTCAGCATTTTTTAATCCTTATAGAAATAAACTTTTAATTTTAATTTAATTGAATTTTAATGTTTTAGAAAGGGAAGGCGTTTTTCTTGTAGCTGTATCATTTGGGGTGCAAATGGTGTTTCATTTTGGTTTTTGTTAAAGGGCAATATTTTTTGTTTTTTTTTTTTTCCCGGGTTTTTGGGGGCCCAGAACTGGGGAAAATTTTTTTCCAGGTCTTTTTTATATCTCCTTTTTTTGTCAGTGAACTGCTGGAGTAGTACAGTTGTTTGGGGTTTTTTTTATTTTAATTTTGGGGGAGAACTGACGAAAATTGTTTAAATTCTTTGTGTATTTAACCCTGTCTATATTCTTTTTATATTGGGTTTTTTATCAATGGATTTCGAATGCTGCCTTAATTGGAAATTTTGCTGCCCCCCCATGTTGATATTAGCTAGAGGGAAAATTCTCTCCGACCCTTGGGGGTTTTAAAGCAAAAAAGAAACTCTCAGGATTATTCGGCTGTCCCCCGATCTAAAAAAAGTTCTTAACATGAGGGAAAGGGGGCTTGGTATTTTTTTATCAGTGATAGGATTGGGTTGGGGAAAATTTAAAACCCGTACTCCTGGGATTAGAATGTTGAGAAACGATCCCGGGCACTGTCACAGTGAATCTTTCCCAAATGTCTGAGGTAAATACAAAACAGATTTTTAAAAGGATTTTGAAAAAAGTGCAACTGCATTAAGGTTTTTTTTAACCTGGGATGAAATGGATCATGGGAGGCAAAAAAGAGCATTTCACCCCCCATGGAAGATGTGTTTTAAATTTAAAATCACATACCTACAAGTTCCCCCCAAGAAGTCATTGCTAGTAATCCCCTTCCCTTAAAAACCCCCCCTTTTTTTAGAGCAAAATGCTCAAGAAGGAAAAAATTTTCACCTTTGGGTGGGGAAATAAAAAAAGTTATTTACAAGTTTATAAAACTGATGGGGTCTAAACAGGATTTTTCTGGCAGGGCTCATCTGCTCTTTTTGCCACCCCCCTAGTTAAGAACGATATTAAAATTTTTTTTAGTTAGGGAAAAAGAATTTAAACAACTGGGGCCCCCCTTTCACTGAAACTGAATTGTTTTCAATCCAAAAGGCGCTAAAAAACTAACCTATGACACGACTTGACTCTATCCCCTCATTTTCTGAATTTTTAAAGTCATATTGAAGGCTCTTGGGGTCATATAATACTCCAACAACATTTCTCATTGGGGAAGCCCCGGATAAGGGTACTTTAAAAATTAGGGAAAAAAAAAAGGGAAATTTAAGACCCAAAAGCATGGATCCCATCACACATTGGATTACTTTCCCCATGATAAAGTTTATATTTAGCCAAGAAGAGTTTTCGAGAAGGAGAATGTAGAATATAACTTTGGTAAAACTGTGTCTAACATTAGGAATAATATTAGGAGAGAAGTAAATAATGAAAATGATTGTTATAGGAATGCAGTTAGAAGCCTGAGTAGATCTATAACCCACTATGATAACATGAACGTAGATAAGTATGTTTATGGAGCAACTTGCAATGTGAACAGACTGACTGATGTTGTAGTGGCCAGGCTTAGGCTTGGTTACAAGTACTTCTGGCAGTTTGGGAGACACACAGATGATGATCAAACTAAATGTAAATTATGTGATCAGGCATATGGTCATTCTCTTGAACACTATGTGCTTAATTGTCCACTTATTGAGGAATACAGAGACAGACAGTATAATAACCTATGTGACATGTCAAGATATCTTATTAATGAAAATAAGATACCAGATATACTAAGCAAATTTCCTAAATTTGCTTGTAACAGATAAGTGAACTATAGATATGTAGATATAAATCCATATGTATTCCTGTTAACCCTTTGGGGCCTAGTTCCTAGGCCTTTTGTGTATCCATATGCTCTCGCGCTACCGTCCACAGGATGGATATGGGGTGCACAATAAACTAGCCACTTCGGTGGCAAAATCTAATCTAAAATCTGCTGGTTAGCCATGGGCAACCAAGCCATTTATTCGTGATCTGTTTCGTTTTTATAGGACAATGTTTGTTGTATAGTCTAAGTATTTTGTTAAGAAAAATGTCTGTCCAATCGTCAATACCATTGGCATTGGAGAATTCTGTAGGCCAGTCAACAGTCTCTAGGTCTGCTGTGAAATTACTTATTGAGGCCTCGTCATGGAGTCTAAATGAAACTGTTGTATTTGAGTGGTGGTTTACTAATGTTTGTTAAGAGGAAGGTAGGGTAGTGGTCTGTAGTGCTGTCTGTGATTATCCCTGATTTAAGAGGGGCTAGTATATTGGTCCATATGTGGTCTATTATGGTTGCACTTGTCTCAGTCAGCCTGGTTGGTTTAGTTATTGTTGGTATGAGAAGTGTGTTGTTCATATTGTTGATGAAATCAGTTACAGGCTGATCATCTGGTAGGCCAAGGTTGATATTGAAGTCTCCAGCTAAGAGAAGGTGGTGCTTGTTCATTTGTCTGTTTGCTGTTAGTGCGTTTAGATTCTCACTCGGGTGTGGACGTCTCTCTCTAGCCCAAGTATCGGTGACAAATATTCCCTGTTCTCTCTGGGTCGCTTGTCCTCATCTATTTTGCCCGCCGGGCACTCTACAGGAGGGGCACCTGTACATCGGCTTACTTTTAGCCAGCTCCATTTTTTCCGCTCTGCGGAAAATTCTTTATCGGTCTTTGAAGGGAAGCCGGTTACTAAACTCAGGTGGGAGTGTAGGCGTCCTTCTCTGCTGGGACTTGTAAAGGGCGTCCACCGATCTAATTGGAAACTTCGTTTCTATCTCTATTTACAAAGGAACTTTTGTTCCTTTTTTTTCCTAGCCGAGCCTTGGGCAACATATCTTCCTCGTACCATCGAGAAGTCAGGCTCGACACAGCTTGTGCTGTCAGTGGCCCTGATAAACCCAACAAAGAAGAAGAAAGGACTAACCCTGACTGGTAAGTCTTTTTTATTGTAACTGATTTTCACGCAGTAGAGCTACTTAGTTTTAATTTTTTATGGTTATACTCATGACTGATTTCTGCCGTATCTAATAGGTAGACTGCTAATAATAATATATTTCATGGACTTCAATGGAAGCAAGTCAATGACTTTTTGGGGGTTTTTCCTAGGTAATTTACACATGTTATTGCTGTATAGCCCTTGTGGCTTAGCGCTTCTTTTTATAATAATAATAATAATACACATGTTATTATGTAAGACAGTTATAATCACCTAAAATTTGTGTAATTGTACTTGTGTGTAACTGTACTAAATAAACTTACTAACAAGAGCTTAAGCAGGCACAACAGTACTGTGTCCAGGCTAACTACAGTGCAAGAACCATCTTCATACATGACCTTGCCACAGTCAAAATTCCAATCAATGTTGAAAACATTTTGAGAGGCGGGATCAAACCACTATATATGAAGCAAAACATAGCTAAAGCAAACACCCAATTCTTACTAACAAACACAGCACTAATGATGCAATCATAACGATGCAATGATAAAAATGCTAGATCTGCTTTTCACAGCATTGGAAAATAAGGAATATCCACTAGGAATTTTTATTGACCTAAGAAAAGCGTTTGACACAGTAGACCACGGCATCCTACTCCACAAACTTGACCATTATGGTATAAGAGGCCATGCGCTTGCATATTTCAAATCTTACCTTACTAATAGGTATCAGTATGTCACCATTAAAGACACAGCATCAACAACACAGCCACTTGATACTGGAGTTCCGCAGGGAAGTGTCCTTGGTCCCCTGCTCTTCCTCATATACATCAGTGATCTTCCAAACGTATCTCGACACCTGAACCCCATTCTCTTTGCTGACGACACGACTTATGTCATCTCTCACCCTAATCTTGCCACCCTCAACACCATTGTTAATGAGAAGCTGATCAAAATATCGACTTGGATGACAGCCAATAAACTTACGGTTAACGTTGACAAAATCTACTACATTATGTTTGGTAGCAGAGCAGGAGATGCGCAAATTAACATTAAGATCGACAACACTCTAATTGCCAGGCATAATGAGGGCAAATTCCTATACCTATACCTCGACAACAACCTGAACTTCAGCACCCATATCCAACACATAACCAAAAAAGTATCCAAAATGGTTGGGATCCTCTCCAAGATACGATACTACGTGCCGCAAACTGCCCTTCTCACACTATACCATTCACTTATATATCCATACCTCACCTATGCTATCTGTGCTTGGGGTTCAACTGCAGCAACACACCTAAAGCCAATAATAACCCAACAAAAAGCCGCAGTAAGAATAATCACTAAATCCCATCCCTGGCAACACAGCCCCCCACTCTTCATAGATCTAAACTTACTCCCTGTTCAGTACATCCACACTTACTACTGTGCAGTCTACATCTACAGGACCTTAAATTCCAATATTAACCTTGACCTAAAACGCTTTCTTGATAGTTGTGACAGAACCCACAGGCACAACACCAGACACAAACATCTCTATGACATTCCCCGTGTCCGACTAAACCTTTACAAAAATTCAATGTATGTCAAAGGCCCTAAAATCTGGAACACCCTACCTGAAAATTCCAAAACTGCAGACACATTCATCACCTTCAAAACTACCATCAGAAAACATCTTATCTCCCTGATACACCCTGTCAACTAATAATACGAATACCACCTGGTGGTTCACACTTACACTCACTCACCCATTTGACCATAAACAGAAATATCAATCTCAATCTCAAAATAATGAATCTTAACTAGTCATAAGTTGGCCTGTGATACTCCAATACTGAAACTATGTATAGTGCCAAAACAAAAGCATTCACATTGCTAAACTCACAACTAGTATTTAGTCACTTAGCCATAATACCAACTTACCTCATAATTTTGTAATATTTTAAACTTAAGATTTAATATAAGTCTGCCCGAAATGCCTAGCCATGCTAGGTGTTCTAGTGGTACACTCTGTAATTATTTTACTACATGTAAACCACACAATAACCAAATTCTGTAAACTCAGCATTGTAATCCTTATAGAGAATAAACTTCGAATTTGAATTTGATATCTGAACACCACCAATAACAACGTTATTTCCCCTCACCAGAGGCAGAAGGAACACTAGGACTAAGATTCATACAAGGAAAATTGTGTGAATCTTAGTCCTGGTTTTGTCTCTGTAGATGCCTTCCTCTCCCACTACATTGTAAAATGCTCCAAACTTCAGAACACTCGTAACCTAACCTGATTCCTCCTTTTTCTTCTTCTCCCTCTTCCCTTTTTCCTCTTTCTTTTTTTCTCCTTTGGGTTGTCTGTCTTTCTTCTGCCCTTTATATTTGTTCCTTTTATTTTTTATTTATTTATTTGTTTTTCCTCCCTCAGTGTTCTTGCTCTTACCCTCTGTGGGCACCTAGCTCCCTTGCAGTGCTGCTCTTTCTTAGTACGTATTTGACTGGCCCCTCCTACTCTTACCACCACCCCACTACTATTTCCTTCTACCTCCACTACTACCACTACTACTACTACCACCTCCTGCCTATATATACCCTTCCCACTCTCCTTTTCGTTAGTGTGACTTTGTAAATGGTCCAAATCGGACCGAAACGTCGTCGTAAGCTCCTCTTTTCTATGTGCGGGTTATTTATGTATCATTTGTGCTTTTATTATTCCTGAATCCAAACTGACAGGGGTTTAGTATGTTGTGTGAGACAAGGTAGGAATAGGTCCGTCTATGAATTAATTTTTCAAAGATTTTAGAGAGCAGTGGTAAGTTAGATATTGGTCTATAGTTATTCAAGTCAGCTTTGTCACCTCCTTTGTGGATTGGGGTGGCCCTCATTATTTTGAGAATTGCTGGGAAGGTGGAGGATTCACTGGATTTATTAAAGAGTGTTGTAATAATTGGTGACAATACTTGAGAAGCTTTTTTGTACATAAAAGTTGGCAAGTTGTTCATATCTCCTGCCTTGTTTTTAAGGGTGTTGATGATGAGCGAGACTTCTGCTGGGTTGGTAGGAGCTAGGAATAGTGTATTCGGGTAGGTGCCTGTGAGGTAGTCTGATGGACGGGTGTTTGAGCTTGGGGTTTTGCTTGCTAGGTTCTTTCCTATGGTGAGGAAGAAAACATTGAGTCTATTTGCTGTTTCAGTTGGTGGGAGTAGGGGTTCTTCTGATTTTGTTAATTTGATTGTTTTGTTTTTTCTATATCTTCTTAGTTCCTAGAATTTCAGCTAGGGTTTTCCAGGTCTTTTTCGTATCACCTTTGATGTTATAAGAACATAAAGAAGGAACACTGCAACAGGCCTACTGGCCTGTGCGAGGCAGGTCCAATTCCCCTACCGGCTTAAGCTCACTGACCTAGTGACCTTAAGCTCACTGACCGTCTGACCTTTTAAGGCAATGTTTGTTATAGAGGTAGTGGGCTTTTTTTTTTTTTAGAAAATTATTAATACATTCATTCATATCTGTATATGTTTCGAGCTCATTATGCCAGTCAATGTTATTCATAGCTCCTATAAATTTATTAATAGCTGTCTCGTTATGTAGTCTGAAGGTAACTTCAGTAGTGTCTTGAGGCAATTTACCTAGGTTGGTTATGAGAAAGGTTGGGTAGTGGTCTGTGGTGTTGTCTATGATTATGCCTGATTTCAATGGGGATATGGTGTTAGTCTAGATGTGTTCTAATAAAGAAATACTAGTCTCAGAGATTCTTGTAGGTTTTGATATTGTTGGTAGCAACAAATAGTTGCTCATAGTGTTTGTGAATTCGGTTACTTGTGGGTCATGGTCATGTAGTAGATTTATGTTGAAATCTCCTGTTAACAGCAGGTGGTCTTTGTTCATATGTGCATCAGTTATCAAGTTTCCTAATTTTTCACTGAAGTGGTAAATGCTTGTGTAGATGTTTATAACTGTGAGGGTTTTTTGCAGGTCTTTTGATTTAAATTTAGCTATGATACACTATTCACCATGCTCATCCCTTGTGCAAGATTTATTGATACATTCAAGTTGATTTGAGGAGTACAGTGGTCCCTCGTTTATCATCGTTAATCCGTTCCTGGAAGTGCGACGATTATCGAAATAGACGATTTTCGAATAAATTTTCCCCATAAGAAATAATGTAAATACAATTAATCCGTTCCTGACACCCAGAAGTATTAAAACAAAAAAATTTTTTATGTGAAATATAGATGTAGTACATAAACAATACAATGGGACATGATGAATGAAACATTAACAGCATAACACTTACCTTTATTGGTGATTCTTCTTAGTGTATGGAAGACTGGAGGAGGAGAGAGATTGGATTAGTTACTGGTTGGAAGGGGAATTCCCTTCCATCAACACCTCAGGTACCAAGTCCTTTTTTGGGGTTACATACTTCTCTTCTCCATTTCTTAATGCCACTAGGACCAGCTTGAGAGTCACTGGAGTCCTGTCTTGCAAAAAAAGTGTCCAGAGAACTCTGTTTCTGGCGTCTCTTTAAAACTTCCTTAAAATGGGCCAAGACTCTGTCACTGTACAAGTTGCTGATATGGCTTGCAACATCCTTCTCAGGGTGATATTTATCCATAAATCTTTCCATCCTACCCCACATTTCAAAAATCTCCTTAATTTCTGAAGAAGGCACCTTCTTCCATCTCTCTTCCTCCTCCTCTGCAGCAAGATTCTGAGCTGCGATCTGTTGCTGTTCCTGCTGAAGCTCTTGCAGCTCCTCAGTGGTTAGCTCTTCGTTGTGGTCCTCCACCAACTCTTCCACATCCTCCAAACTCACATCCAACCCCATGGAACTCCCCAATGCCACAATAGATTTCACAACTGACATAGGCTCATCAGAGTCAGCCACAAACCCTTCAAAATCCCTCTTGTGGACACAATCTGGCCACAATTTTCTACAAGCAATAACAGCTTCCTTGATTTCCTTTTTCTTTGCCACGATGGAAGATATGGTTGTATGGGGTTTGTTATACATCCTGGCCAGTTTGGCCACACGTACGCCACTTTCATATTGTTCAGTGATGTTTTTCTTAAATTCAATCGTATTTCTCACCTTTACCAAAGGCTTGGCACTAGGAGCTTTCTTTGGAGCCATGGTAGCTTATTTATCACTTACAAGCACTAAAATGAATGGAATATTATGAAATATTTTGTATGAACAAGTGAGGGGACCGTCGCTCACTGGTAAATAATGCCACACTGGCTGGGAAGGGAGGCCGAGGCGGCTCAGAGCCGTGAGTATGCCTCCAGGACGAATGACGATTAGCAAGTCAACCAACCATTTGCGAGCCAATGTTTGGACGAAAATAACGTGACGATTTCCGAAAAGGATGACTATCGAGCCCGACAATTATCGAGGGACCACTGTATATAGCTGTTCCACCCTCTTGCTGGTCTGTCCTACAGTTGTGTATGGCTGTGTAACCAGGAATGGCATAGACATCTACATTACCAGGCTTTAGCCAGGTTTCTGTGAGTGTGATGATTTACATACTGGAATGAAGGGAATTGAGTAATGCTGTGAGGTCATCGTAATGTTTGCTCAAGGATCTGACGTAATTAAAGATAGTTATGTTATTATTTGCTCTGAGTAATGTCTTTTCTTGGTCTGCTGTATAATAATTACAGTTACTGTTTGATTCATGTAAGCCATTTAATAAAAGGTTTACATCAGGATCAATGCCTGTATTCATAAGAATGAGAGTGACTCTAGAACTAGATTTTTTAATAAAATATTATGTTAAACTTAATAATTATGATACTTAAGTAATTTATCTTACTAGCTAATGGATTGTTACAAATGGGAGGCTGTTATCAGGATCAATGCTTGTAATCATAAGATTTATAGTGAATCTATAACTTGACTTAGGAATAAGACTATGTAATTATTTTAAAACTAAAAAAGAATAAAAGAGCTAGGGAATATAATAGTAAAACAATGAAATTATTACACTTTAGCACCTGAATTAGCACCGTAATTATTTTAACAAATAAGAATACGTATATGAACTAAGCTAAAATAAAGAATGTAATGACCCTTTTACAGTTCTGAATGTATTTTTTGTTTTGTTTTACCATTCCCATTCCTTAATAATCATTAGTTTAGTAATGTTACTATATTAACTACTTGATGAAAAAGACACAAGTACAACACTTGGGTATGTTTATTGCCGAAATGTTTTGCTTGCACAACACTACTTCAGTCAAATATAGATGCACACAATTCCAGAGACACTAGAAGTAGCTTTGAGATGTTCAGCCCATCAGTTTTGGTAATTGGTCAGTCCACCTCCTTAACCCTTTCAGGGTCCAAGGCCAAAATCTGAAGTGGTGCCCAAGTGTCCAAGAATTTTCAAAAAAAAAAAATCTGGTAGAGAATCTTTTTGTGAAGGTAATAAAACTATTTCACTAGTATTACTTTTATTCTATCGATTGAGCACAAGAAATTGCCAAGTCAACTGTTTCAACTACAAAATAAAGTGATCAGAAATTGGTAATTTGGCCAATTTAACACAAAGTTCAAAATATTCCAATTTCAAAATAGGGTTGAGAATAAACAATGTAGGTATTCCTGGCACTAAACTAACATTTCCTCTGTTCATTAGTTACGTTTTGAGGCTTTACAAATATATTCCATTTTAATTTTTTATTCACATAATGAATTTTTATTCACACCAAAAAATAGAAGATTTACTGTTATGCAATATTGTAATAATTGTAAAAATATCATCATCACATTTGTGAATGTATATTAGACCCACCAGCTGGCGTGTATTAGATGTGTGAGGTCATTTATTTACTTTTGAACATTGACAAAAATTTAACATTTCCACTACTTTGAGCTCAGTTTCAAGCCATTTCCAGTGCTAAAACCAATCAAAATCATCTCTATTTCTGTAATATGTCTTCCATTCTATCAAATGAGACCAAGAAATCGCAAATACAACTATAAAAACATATGAAAAAACACTGCAAAGTCGCTGTTTTAATCGAAAATCACTTGTCTGTTTTTTTTCTCTCATTATACACAGTGTGCTGCAGGATTTGTTTTATGTGGTGCACACATACCACATATATGTATTCTCTCATATCTAGGCCCAAATTTACCACTCACAGTTTATCAGAGTGAGCTGAGCTCATGGCGTAGATCTACTGTTTGGACCCTGAACGTAAAGCCGTAGATCTACGGGACGGACCCTGAAAGGGTTAAAACGACAAGCATGTTGTGCATGCAAAAGTTTTGGCAATAAAGACACCCATGAGTTGCACATGTCATTTCTTTACTTGTCAGTATTATGTACCATCAATAATATGAGCTAGTGCTGTAATTGTTTCTTTGGCAGGTACAGACATAAGGACAGTTGTTATAATGGCTGAATTAATCAAGATCTTATTGAATTTCTCTGAACGGGCTGGAGAAATTGCTCGATCTATTCGTCAGGAGCCTAAACTGTTCACTTTGCTGGTTGAAGAAAAGGGTGAAAATGAAAAGAATCAGCGATTTACCCATGACTTTAAAACATTAGCAGATGTATTGATTCAGGAGTCCCTCAGACACCATCTTGTTCAAATGGTTTGTAATATGAATTTATTTCCGGATTGATCTGCTCTATGTCCACACCTAGCTCACATATGCTCTTTTCAGAAGGTATATTTTATGTCTGAATATTAGCATGTCAGTAGTGGTTATATACCATACCTTCCTTTGATAAACTTCCCCACTAATAAAATCTCTTTTGTGTCAGGCAAAGTCACCAGCATCTTAATTCACTGAGGTTGACGAATTATCCAGGCAGCAGGTTTGGTGACTTGAGATTACACATATTTGGGTATATTTTAACAAGATATGAAACATCATTTAGGTTTAGGTTAGATAAGAGTAGCTTAGGTTAGTACTTGATAGTTTCACTAACTTTATATATAGGAGAACTTTTTGCTAGTAGGATAATCTCGGAGTTCTCCTTACTGATCAGTGACTTATGAACATTGGTGAGATCACTTGCATTCATTTATTTTCCATTGTACATTTCCCACCAAAGTTTCCATGCTTCTCCCTCATTGTTCTTCTTTCAAAGGGAGGGGTGCCTTGATGCTGGAAAAATGCTCTTGATTCAAGGTAGTGGAGCTGCTCTTCCCTCCCTTGGACCAAACCTGATTAATTCCTATTCACAGGGCACTGTATGGCCCTTATGTGTTTAGCACTTCTCCATGAGTGTAATAATCTGTCATTGTTCTGTTTATGTGGTAAACCTAGGTGCATTGTAGACTCCAGTATAACTTGTTGGAACTTTTTCCTCACTCCTTTGTTTATATATGTCTTAAGCCCCAGCTATTGCTTATAGTATTATTTGACTGCAGAGTTTAATCTTTCCACTTTTAATTCTAATATTTCAGGGCTTACCAGTGCCAGTAGGTGCCACAAAGTAGATCATGTTGTCAATAATATAATACAAATACGTATTTATTTCCTTGTAAAGCTTACAATGTATGGTTTACATGTTATAAGATTTTAAATACAAAGATGGCCACTATCGTGCCTAGGCACTTCAGGCAGACTAATACTAATTCTTAGGCTATTTTGATATAGGTCATATTTGAGCACTACATTTGAACATATCACACTAGGTACTTAATTAGATACATTCTCAGTTAGGTACGTACATAATTAGGTTTAAAATAGTTAGTCATATCATTTAATATTAGTACAAATGGCAGATTTAGTAATGGGATTCGATTTGTCTTGGCATGACACATTGTTTCTATTAAAGTCATACAGGAGGAGTATCTTAGCAAATTTAGGATTCTTTTTTTTTTTTTTATTAACACATTGGCCGATTCCCACCAAGGCAGGGTGGCCTGAAAAAGAAAAACTTTCATCATCATTCACTCCATCACTGTCTTGCCAGAGGGGTGTTTTACACTACAGTTATAAAACTGCAACATTAACACCCCTCCTTCAGAGTGCAGACACTGTACTTCCCATCTCCAGGACTCGAGTCTGGCCTGCCGGTTTCCCTGAATCCCTTCATAAATGTTACTTTGCTCACACTCCAACAGCACGTCAAGTATTAAAAACCATTTGTCTCCATTCACTCATATCAAATATGCTCACGCACGCTTGCGGGCAGTCCAAGCCCCTCACACACAAAACCTCCTTTACCTCCTCCCTCCAACCCTTTCTAGGCCGACCCCTACCCTGCCTTCCCTCCACTACAGATTTATACACTCTCGAAGTCATTCTGTTTTGTTCCATTCTCTCTACATGTCCGAACCACCTCAACAACCCCTCCTCAGCCCTCTGGACAATAGTTTTGGTAATCCCACACCTCCTAATTTCCAAACTACGAATTCTCTGCATTATACAGTGGACCCCCGGTTAACGATATTTTTTCACTCCAGAAGTATGTTCAGGTGCCAGTACTGACCGAATTTGTTCCCATAAGAAATATTGTGAAGTAGATTAGTCCATTTCAGACCCCCAAACATACACGTACAAACGCACTTACATAAATACACTTACATAATTGGTCGCATTCGGAGGTAATCGTTATGCGGGGGTCCACTGTATTCACACCACACATTGCCCTCAGACATGACGTCTCCACTGCCTCCAGCCTTCTCCTCGTTGCAACATTCATCACCCATGCTTCACACCCATACAAGAGTGTTGCAACAACTATACTCTCATGCATTCCCCTCTTTGCTTCCACAGACAAAGTTCTTTGTCTCTGCGGACTCCTAAGTGCACCACTCACCCTTTTCACCTCATCAATTCTGTGATTCACCTCCTCCTTCATAGACCCATCTGCTGACATGTCCACTCCTAAATATCTGAATACATTCACCTCCTCCATACTTTATCCCTCCAATTTGATATCCAATCTTTCACCACCTAATCTTTTTGTTATCCTCATAACCTTACTCTTTCCTATATTCACTTTTAATTTTCTTCTCTTACATACCCTACCAAATTCATCCGCCAACCTCTGCAACTTCTCTTCAGAATCTCCAAAAAGCAGTGTCATCAGCAAAGAGCAACTGTAACAACTCCCACTTTGTGTTTGATTCTTTATCTTTCAAGTCCACACCTTTTGCCAAGACCATTGCATTCACTTATCTTACAATGTTTCTTAGCAAATTTAGGATTAACTTAAGATTTAATAAGACTAACTTAAGATTTAATAGGCATTAGCTATATTAGGAATTGTATGTTTACAGTCCTTTGGGTGGATGTATGTGGAAATTATGGGGGAATTACAGATAATGATAACCCTATGTTGTTTTGGATGTGTTCATGATACAAAAAAAGAGAATTGGGTGGTTTTCATTTGGTTAGCTGATGATGGGGTGTGTTAGGGAGACGAGATGTTTTTAAACCCTTTGACTGTTTTGGTCGTATATATACGTCTTATGAGCCAATGTGTTTGACGTATATATACTCAAAAATTCTAGCAGCTTCAAATCAAGCAGGAGAAAGCTGGTAGGCCCACATGTGAGAGAATGGGTCTGTGTGGTCAGTGTGCGCTGTATAAAAAAAAATCCTGCGGCATGCAGTGCATAATTAGAAAAAAAAAACTATGTTTTTGGATTAAAACGCCGACTTTGAGGTGTATTTTCGTATAGTATATATGGTTGTACATGTATTCTTGTTTTCTTGGCCTCATTTGTTAGAATGGAAACATGTTATAGAAATAGAAGTGATTTTGATTGGTTTTACTATAAAAAGGATCTTGAAATGGAGCTCAAAGTGGCAGAAATGTTCGATTTTTGCTGATGTTCAAGAGTAGATAAATGACGTCATTGTCCAATAAATGTCCAACTAGCCATTCTAATATGCAGTTATGAATGGGTTGACATTATTTATACAATTATTAGAATATTGCAGTAGTCTGCATAACAGTAAATTTTCTATTTTTTGTGTGAATAAAAATTCAAAGTAGAAAGCAAGAGTATTATAACAGGGGCCTGGAGACATGTCTGATGAACAGAAAATTTTTTATTTTAGGTCCATGAATGTCTGGATTATTCATTCTGGACCTTATTTTGAAATTGACATATTTTTTAATTTGCATGAAATTGGCTAAATTGCCAATTTCTGACCACTTTATTGGGTAGTTGAAATAGGTAAATGGGTGGTTTCTTGTACTCAGTCAATAGAACAGACAGAGTTCTAAAGAAATAGCTATGAGTTTGGTGGACAAGAACAATGGAATTGGCCAAAAATAGGGCTCAAAGTGGGCGAAATCGCCGATGCATAAATGTCGCCGAGGTCACTAACTTCGCGAGAGCGTAATTCTGTAAATTTTCCATCAAATTTCATACTTTTGGCATCATTATCATTAGGAAAAGATTCTCTATCATTTCGTAAGAAAAAATTATTATTTTTTTTTTCAAATATTTTGCAACACCAGGAGACACTTCAGGATTTGGGGTTGCGACAGTCAAAGGGTTGATGGTAGTTTTGAAAATGGTGGTTCAGTCTGCAGTCCTAGAGTTTTCAGGCAGGGAGTTCCAGATTCTAGGCCCTTTTATGTATGTACCTCGAATTTTTGTATAGGTTTAGCCCAACACTGGGAATGTCATAGAGATTTGTGTGTCTTGTGTCATGTCTATGGGTCCTGTTGCAACTATCAAGAAATTATTTTAGTTCCGGGTTAAAATTAGTGTTTATGGTTCTGTAAATGTAGATTGCACAGTAGTAGGTGTGAATGTTCTGTACGGTGAGTAGGTTTAGGTCTTTGAAGAGTGGGGTATGTGCCGTCTTTCATTTGATTGTGTGATAATTCTTACTGTGGCTTTTTCTTGGGTTATTATTGGCTTTAGGTGTGTTACTGCTGTTGATCCCCAGGGACAAATAGCATAGGTGAGGTAGGGATAGATGAGTGAATAGTGTGAGCAGGGCTGATTGTGGTACATAGTAACTGTCAAGGTGCAGGCCCAGGAATTTGCCCTCATTATGTCTAGCAATAGGAGTGTTGACAATCATTATGTTCAGCTGGGCAGCACCTGTTCTGTTCCAAAACAGAATGTAGAAGGTTTTGTCAGTATTAAGTGTAAGTTTATTAGCAGTCATCCAGGTCGATGTTTTTACTAGTTCTGGGTTAACAATAGTGATGACATATGTTGTATCGTCAGCAAAGAGAACAGGCTTAAGATGTTGTGAAACAGTAGGTAGATCATTGATGTATGTATAATAGGAAGAGCCGGGGACCAAGGACACTTCCCTGTGGTACTTGTTAATGAGTAATGAAATAGCAGGTGAGAAAACATAAGCCTCTCGTTTGTACAATAATGGAGGAACTTGAGCCAGATTTCCTGATTTATTTTTAAGTGATTTAATAATCGCAGTGACTTCTGTGGGCTTGGTTGATGCAAGATAGGAGGAGGTTGGGAAATTCCCATCTAATTAATCACTTGCTCGGGCGTTGGTACCTAGGATTTTACTGACGAGATTTGATCCTTTGGTTGAAAAAGTCGTTTATCTTGTTAGCTGTATTAATAGGCTGCTGTTGAGCTTCATTCGGTTTAGTTAGGACAATATCCCTAGTTTTTTTTTAGTGTGTGGGCACCTAG